TTCACATCAAGAGATACCAGAGCACTAGCTCAAAACTGTACGGTAGTAGGTCCCACAAGGAGGACAGCAATATTTGCACTGCGCAAACTCAAACAAATGCAAAAACATACAAGCGGTCGCCGCGACGACAGTCGCGAGCAAACTAAGAAAGCCACATCTTCAAATCCCATCACTTGACCTGCCTTCGCTTTGTTGACATTGCCTTAGCCCATGTTTCTCTCCACGATGTTCAAACCGAATCTGCGCTCCGACCACACCCAACGTTGTCGACCCACTCACACAACGCATCAATCTGCAGCCACCCTGCCGCAGTTCTGCACCCAACCCAAATCGTGCATACACTTGCGCAAGAGATCAATCTCGTACCCAACCACTTGTCTTGTCACCCCACCCAGGCTCCACGGCCTGGGCATCATCCACATGCATCCGTAAAGTCTCCATCGCGATGAACGCTGTAAGCCTAGAGGTATCAGCGAATCACAGGTTTCACCAAGGCCGATGTGTGCATGGCCATCTGCGTGCTGAGCATGCAAGTGTGCAGTAGCCTGCTTGACTCGACGGGGACTATCACGCCGGGATTGCGCCCTGCCTCATCGATCTAACTGCTAGAGGTCTAAACAGATGTGTAAGATTACTAGGCGCACATCCAAGGGGAATTATGGATGGAAGGCTGCGGATACCGGATGCAGGTCGTGGCCGATTGATGACCTGAATGAGGGATCGAGACTCATCTCTGCGCTTTCTGTCATGCCCTTAGCGCATATCTTTGTTGGGAGAATGGAGGCTGCCGCCTAAACGGATTCCTCAGGCCACACGATGTACAACTAAATGGAGGTTGGCGAGGCTATGCTAAGCTACTTGTGGCTGAGATGGTGTACTGTTGTTATTGACATGCTGTTGGACCTGCGCGGCAGTCGTCTCAGGACCTGATCCTGCTGTTGTTAGAGGCATACCACGAAATGACACGCAGGCAGTCGTAAACATGTCTCGGCCATACGAACGCCATCACCATGGTCCTTGTCTCGCTTGTTGGCCGGTCAGCTGGCCATCGAGGAGGGCTGAATCTCCAGTCAACCATCAAACGTCCTTCAGCTTCCGTCGCCCTTGTGTCGTGTCGGCTACCGATGCTTCCAAGACACCTTAGCATGTCGCGTAAAATGTACATCCGCGTACAGTTGCAGTGAGGCGTCACCGGAAAACTTGGTCGACACCAATCGGCACACGGCACTCAGGCAAGGAAGGGCACCGTTACAAAGAATTCGTTTTTGCGGCCGCCAATCCTTCGTCATATGACAAGCATGGTGATATCCGAAGAGGGAAAAGCAACGGCCGTCGCTACCGGAGATCCCTCAGCAATCAGCAAATACGTGCTCATTTCATGTGGCGCGGATAATGGCGTCGAGTGACGTGCAGAAGGCTGACGGAGCAAACTGGTGTAAGGATGACATTATGCCAAGGACCGCGGCTGGTATGTGTGGCAATCATCATCACCAGCCCACACCAGCCCGCGCCGTTCCTTCTGCCGCTAGCCACTTTCCAGGAAGAAATCCCTCAACTCCATCCTTTTGCATCATATGCATCCCACCCCGCGGCCCTTTCGTCAGACAATGTGCATACCTACAACAAGCTTATTGTTCGTTATTGATCCAGCTGCGCAAGTGTGGCGATGGCCGCTCAACGTCTCGCCGAAACCAGGTCCAGACTTATTGATGCGATTCAAGTGCCTTTGCCCATTCGCTGGGTGAATTGCATGCATGTATAGGTATGCTAATCTTGTTCCGACTTAGGCCACATCCAGCAGAAAAATGGTCCTAGAAATTTTAGCATACGATAGGAACAAGTGCCCTGGTCGTTCAACGGCGTCAAAGATCTGCTATCAGCTCATATTGAACTTTATCGACAAAACCGACCCTAGAGGGCGTTGAAATCTCGCTTCGTACGGAATGACATCGTCCTTCGGCTCTGCAGAAAATGGTGGCTGTTCATCAATCACATGGGCGTTGCATGTCACCCGTATACCGTACTTGCATCGATTTTCTTCTTCCGGCTTCCGTACGCACCCCAGAAGTATGCTTTTTGCACGCCACGAACGCGCCTCGAATAGTCCTTTTCCTTAGACGAAACTCCGAACTTTGTTCGCTTAACCTATGCGAGTGCGAGAATGCGATGGGCACTTTTCGGCGTCACAGATAGACGAATGAGTACGGTAAGCCGCATATTGGCTACTGACATCTGGTCGGGGATTGCTATCCCAGCTGATGTCAAGGCTTGAAAGTAAGGAGCGAACCTTGCGCAGCAAGCTTCGTGGCTTACTTGCCTTGTGTCACTGTGTCACAGTAAGTTGGGCCAACTCATCGGGTCTGCCGAGCGACATCTAGCCTTGCGGGTAGCTGTGCTTTTGGGACCTGATGCTCGGAATTCTGCTCTTTCTTCTAGTTGAGGCACGTCCTTTGCGCTGTGATCTTCCCTTTCCCAGGATTGATACTATCAAAAAGCATACATGCCGACGGTACTTCGATCAGTCATCGTGTCAGACTACGAACAGCGTTGCTTCACGCTATAGACTCGAAACGTACGATCATGAGCTCACTTTTCTTCCTCGGCCACCGGAGATACATAGCCAAGGTCACTAAGTCTCCAGATATTCAACTTCTCTGCACGGTTGCTTCTCGTGGAGCGACCTCGAACTTAGTCGGTCATACAAACAACATGCAATGGCGCTACATGGTAACACGGTAGCCATCCATGTCTGCCTCATCAGCCACTTGCGAGAAACCTTCCACAACACGACCAGATCGCTGCTCAATACTAGCACGATACCCCCACACATGGTACAGCATAACGCCGCCTCTCGACATATGCTGGTTCATCCCTCCGTAACGGGACGCTCCTTGCTGCAATCAGCACCCTTGGAACCCCAGGTAATACAACGATAGTCCCCATCTAGTCTGCTGCAGACGACCGCTGTCTACGAGCGTATCACCACGTTTGAGTTTGCTACACTCGCCACACGAATGATTGGACATGCCCTATTATCCGCAGTCCCGCCTTAGAGACACAAGCGGCTTCCCGTACACATATGATCGGACCGAGAGAAGTGGTCAGAGTCCAGTAACACAACCCCCACAGCAAGGGGACTTTGCATCTGGTTCTGTACGCATGAAGGACAGGTGTGAGACTGACAGCGGGGAGGTGTTCCGATGGGTGTATATGCAACTAGGCGGTCTCCGAAAGGTACTCAAGGTCTTTCGCTGCTCAGCCTCTTCGTGCGCTGTACTATCTGCAACGGTTTGACAGCTCATACCTTCTCTATGCTTTTTCAAGATTGGCGAGGCCAAGAAGAAGCCAACGTCGAAAGTTGATCGTAGGTTCTTTTGCTTCTCCAATTAGTAAGGTTTGACTTTAGGGAACCAACTTGCTGGTCACCCACGCGAAGCTGCACGGCCGTACGATCAACCTATGAGCACAGGGCGTTGGGCATACGAGAACATCGTACGAGCGCCCTCGTGGCAGGTGCCTAGCGCTTCAAAAGACGACTTGTCTTCTTTTCTTTCCAAGGTTCTCTTCACGTCATTCTAGATTTGATTCTACACGCCCAAACCTTACGCGGAGGTGCATGAACCGGGTAGCGCGAACCAAAGATCGGAACACTATTATCGTCAACACCGCCTCCTAACCAATACGCTCGTAGGTGCTGCTTGTCGCCGGGATGACCGCATGGGTAAAGAAGCAGCTACCGGGCCCGCAAACGATCTGACAACGTAAAACGAGGATGCAGCGAGCCCGGCCAGGATCTACTGCACGCCAGCTAGGCATCCTTCCAGCTATGGGCCTCGCATATATCCGCCCGAAGGTATTCTAAGGATAGGCTTCCTGCGTCTGTAGCGGACAAGGCAACAGAAGAAAAGTTTGGGCGGAAGCATATGCAGCAGCCGTCCGAACGCTGGTCGGCAAACAGTGACTCACCTCTGAACCACTATACTGACCAGATAGTGCTCATTTGAGCGTAGCTCTGTTACCGCACGTCGAGTATAAACCTCACCCAGTGTATACACGCTGAAACAAACCATCTCTCCAGCCTGTCGTTCACAGCCAAACGCCCAACCCCCACCCACAACTTCATGTTCGCGCATTCCAGCACCCCATCCACTTCAAAAGCAAACAATAGGCGCGAAATCCAAGCCGCTTGCCCAAAGTCTGGATCCGCTTTCTGCACAAGGCACCTTGCATGCGCTATCTTCGCCCTACAAGCACCAGTCGTTCAGCGGCCATGCAGCGAGCGCTGTGCCTAGCCGCCTAGGAACCGTGCTTTACGCTCGAGTCTGTCACACGACACGATGCGGCACGACGGCATGCCAGAAGGCTGATTGCACCGGGGAATTATGTTGCGCTAGGAGCGTTGGACTGAGGTTGTCAGTGCGGAAGGGGGAGGGTTGGTGTTGTGTGATGGTGGTGTTCTAGGTCGTGCGGACGGTTGTCTTATGTGCTTGGTTAGGTGCCAAGCTAGAAGATGTATGCTAGTCATTGCATGGTGTTGTGAGCATGGTCGGTATGGAGGTGGGAGATCAGATATGTGTGTAGTATTTGGGTCTTTGTGGTGGTGATAAGCTGGTGAGAATACAGCGCTGTATTGAAGAGAGAGGAAAGACTTCCCTTCTAATAGTACTCCTTCCTAACGTAGAAGAGAATATTAAGGACTATATAGATATAAATACAAAACCTAGAAGACTATAATACTATCAATCTTGATAAGTTTTATACTATAGATAATGTAGGCTGTAAGATAGAGCTTACTATTCACATATCTATCTGTTTTCCCCCCTGTATGAGGTGCAGTATTGTAAATTCGAGCGAATTGGAGAGTTACTATCAATAACAAATACAGTTGCTCAAGATCCACACGAATGTCTGAGTGGTCTATACGGACACCACTACGATGTACTGAAGCCCAGCAAAATTTAGTTATTGTTCCGCCCAACGTCCATATCTTCCCAGAAGTCCTAATCCTGATCCTCATCTGCATCTTGAGGTGCTACCTCTTCGCCCTCAGACCCTCCATCTACAACCGTGCTTCTATCACTGTCAACGCCCCCCTCAATCTTCCCATCCTCGCCCCCAGCATTACTCGACGCCTGCTCTAAATAGTCAACTTCATCCCCACTGGTACTTCCATTCGATCCTTCCAGTCTGAGTGTGAGCCTAGGACGTCGCGTTGCCGGCTCCATCCCCAGCTCTTCATCTGCCTCAACCTCTTCCACTTTGATCTTGATCTTATCAACAGCCTCCTTTCTGACTACAGCACCCTCACTACTCTCACCTCCCGGCCCACCAACGAATTGTATACCGACCGGGTTAAGATAAGTATTAATATTCTTGAGCAAAGATGTCCTCCACCAATGCTGCACATCAGAAGTCTTGGCGATATGGAAGTGAAAGTCCGGGTACATGTCACATACTTGTCGCCATGTGGTGCTATCACCAGAAACGTCGTTCTTATTGCTACCACCGCCGCGTGGTGAGCCTTCTGTGCCGAGGTAGATCACATCACTACGTGTCCAGTGTGAAGCCAGGGCGTCAAAGAAGAGTGTGCGTAGTCCTTTCATGGCGCCGACATCGTGACTGTGGTAGCCTCCCTTAGGGGGTGCAGGAGGAGCGCTGGAGGAACCATTATAGGTAGTGAGCTTGATCCGCGGGTTCAAGGGATTGTCGCTTGTGAGAGGTTCCGAGTTGATGGTTACCACACATCGTAGGTTCTCTTCTGTGGTATTGACACATATGTATGCAATATCACCGGCTCGAATGAGAGATTGTTTGGCGTCAGATCTTCTAGATTTGGCGAGCGGTAGGAATAGATCGTATAGTTTTCGCATTGCTGCTTCCCAGTACTCATCTGCTTCTAGCTTGGCGGCAAGGAGACATGAATCCGCGTGTGCTCGTATACCACGGTACCCGGCGACCTGTGTGTTGGTGCTGTAAATATTTGAGTGCATGAATGAGACGAACTCGGCAAAGGAGTTGGGACTGATAGTTGGCAGTTCAACTTCTGATACTGCGTCGTCTGCGGCGATGATAGATTTGAAGATGTCAGAGTACCGTGACAACTTTGCTTTAGGTAGATACCAGGTTCGTTGGTTGTTTGGCTCTGGCTCTGGCCCGACGATGATCTTCATAGTGCCTGGGATGGACGAAACACTTTCCTTGGGTGTGTCGGCGGAACGGTAGACACGTGGACCTTGAGACACTGTCTCAGACCTTGTATCGAACACTGGTACCATCAATGTGTTTCGAGGGTCTCTGTTCCTTTGTACTTTGGCGAGGGGTGAGGACGGAAGCATCGAATCGGCTTGTGCGAGTCTTCACTGGCCGGTTGATTGTGATATGGGGCGCGGAATGCGAGAGTTCATGCGATATCTGTGAGATCGCAAGAGAGGGGATATATCATGGGATATACTGCTGAATAAGTACGGATGACAGGTACAAACGGGTAGGTTGTCGTGTGTGTGCCCTTGGTGACTAGCGATAGTGAAAGAGACGTTAAAGAAACTTTGTGGGGCTCAGGACAAGTGAGGTCGTACGTATGCGTTCTGGAAAAATTATTTGATGATAGTTGTTTATGAAAGCATGAAGCTATAGAGTAAGATGAAAATTCGTGGATGAGCCATCGAGAGAAGAGCTTGTAAGGTGTATGTCGGGTCAGGCAGCTGCCCAATGTAGATGGTATAGGCAGCGACGATTTGAGTCAATGTGACAGCAGTAACTATTGACTGCGTCACGAAATGAAGACATCGCGATGGGGTTCAAGCTCAAGCATTATTTGAGGACCACCATGACGCAGTCACTTATATGCCCCAGCCTCGTCGAAGAGCACAGTCTTCTTACACGAGTGTAGACAGAGCTCAACTACGACTGTTGAGAAGGTAGTCTACCTGCTATCACTTTTGAATACCGCAGTTCACTTGAATGCTGTCGTACCAAGCTACCGTCGTCCAGGGACATCACGCATGCGCCCTATCCTCTGCTTCCGACGCCACATCCAGCGTACTGCTCTGTACTCAATCCATCAATCTCGGCCCACCCACCATAACGCTCTCTAGCACGCCACTTTTCGCCAAAAGTATAGAACACCCATGGTACCTAGATGATGGTGCACAAAGTCAACGTATGTCTCATACGCAAGTTGTCCCAGGACATTTCTTACCGGCATGAATGCAAGGGTAATAAACGCAAGGAGTGAGAATGAACAGCCTACATCAAGCTTTTGGTACATCTTATGCGGGAAAAGAGGCGCGAGACCACTGACAAGCGAACGCATCACAGAACAGGCAGCCATGCCGGATGCAGAATGTAGTGGGTAGGCGTCAAGAATGTACGTACCTGTGAAGAACTAGACTGCAGATCAGCGACCGTGAACTCAGATTTGAGACTGGACCCAGAATGAAGCACTTCGGGGCAACATGAGACTTACGATAGCGCTCATAGCCCCCGCACCAAATATCACTGTTCCAATTAACGGCGCGATCCAGTGCACCCCATGTTGCGCAGTCCAAACGTATATGAACAAACCGATACTCACAAGCGGCCACCAAGATATCATAGATAGCAATCGGTTCCCCGGTCGTGTGTCGCCTCTCAGTGCTCTTTGCTTGACAAGGTTATCGCTGATCGCAGCGCCTCCAAGCATACCAATGAGGTTGCCGACTGCAGTGCCCAGATAGGCGAGACACAGGATTTTCGGCGCCTACTTGTATGTTTCGACAAACGTGGTTGGGAGGGTCGTGTACAGGACATAGATGTAGCCGTAACCGATAGCAGTAAGGAGTGAGGTAAAGAAGATCGGACGTGACAAGAATAGCATGCGAAGCGGCATAAACATCGCAGTGCCAAAAGCTTCCAGCTTACCTGCTGCCGTGTCCACATCAGGTCTTGCTCGTAAGTTCTCATTCCCAGTCTCATTCCGCAGTCGCACTGTTTTCCGCCGAAGTAGAACCGGTTCGTAGGTTTCCGATAAACAACGCATACTAAGGACTGTACCTATCCCACCAAGGATAGCAGTGAGATAGAAGATCCATCGCCATCCTTTCGCAGCATTGAGGTAGCTGCCTGCTGTAGGACTAATTGCTGGACCAAGGTTATATGCCAGACCTATCAATGCTATGACGCCTCCGCGCTTCTCTTTCACCATGAGATCTCCGAGGCTTGATGGTGCAAGAGCGAATACACTACTTCCGCCCACACCAGCAAAGAACCGGAAAACAGCCAAGACACCGAGTGAGTTTGCGCGCCCGCAGGCTAAAGTGCATATGGTGAAGAGCACGTTGCACAGGTGGTACAACGGCAGTCGGCCGTACTGCTCGGAGAGGGGACTAATGAGGAGTGGTCCAAAAGCGTAACCTAGGACGTAGATGCTCGTGACGAAGGCGGATAGGTAAGTGTCGGTGGATCTGAAGTCTTTCATGATCTCTGGAATCGCTGGAGCGACCACAGAAGACGTGAATGGCCTCCTACATGTCAGCGATTCATAGCTGCGATGCATCTAGGGTGTGATACTCACGAGACAAAAGACATGAAGAATATACAGGTGATGTTGATAGTCTTCTTCCATGAGGCGAAGTTTCTGGGGTTTGCCGCATCGTCATTACCATGCCAGTCGACTACATTTACCTGCCTCTCTTTCTCAGACGCGAGTGAGGTGGGTGGGCTCTCCATGGTACTGCAACGTAACATGTAAATTCTCGGTAGGGCCTCGCTCTAATATAGGTTCAAAGCTAGCAATAGTGGTAAGGGGTGAGTAACAAAGAGGTTTGGATACACTTGGTATGGACGTTGGGAAGCAATGAGTCTCGGGATGTGGCCTCAGTCTTTGTGTGTCCGTTAATCTGATGCCGCCTCTCATAAACATCTTTATGACAGGGTTGCCTTGTAATTACGTCGCTCGAGGTAAACGCGGCTTGACGAATTGAGTGCCGGAATGTGTCGGGCTGGCATTGGAGGAGGATGGGAGGAAAGCGAACGACTGCAACTCCGGTGCCATGAACATGTCAATTTTAGGGCGATACCGGCTCTTATTCTTACCCACCTGCCCTGACGAGCTTCCAATTCCATGCATTTAGCAACAGACGTGCCACAATACACTGCTGCCGACTGCTTAGGTGGGCATAGGATTCGATGATTATGAATCAAGTAAGTATGAACAATCCTGAGGTTTATGTGGTGCTGTCAACTGCTACAGGGTACTTCTCCAAGCTCTCGTACCATTGAAGCGTGCTCCCTATCATGAAAGCCCAACTACCCCAAAAGGTGCTAAGAGAAGCCTGATATTGCGCCCAACTCCTACTATCGTACCCAAAAGCCGGACACAATGTGAAGCCTACACCTCCTACGAGATTCCAAGCTCCGACCCACCAACCGAGTGTCCGGGGAGCCGGTTTCCACCACTTGGATTGTGTCTCGATCATGAAGAGGGCACCGGAAATGACGAAACCTAGACCGCCAAGAACTTGGGGAGTCCAGTAGAAGACGATGGTAAGCGTCTGCGACATGCGATTGTAGATGCCCGGCAGCGCTGTCAGACCCGCAACCCAGAAGATTGTTGCACCGAGCAGCTGGGAGAAGGAAGCTATGAACCCGAGATTGTGGATGTAGTGGGTTCGTAGTTCTTCGTTTGACGGCCACCATATCCACAAACGCTCTTGGGGCGCCAAATCGGACTTTGATTGTGTAAACTGCCGGATATCGACGGACATCTGTTTGTTGTGGTGGTGTGTGCAATGCGACTTTGACGGCCGCAGTGCTACGCGTTCTCCGCCCTCCTCTTCATGCGATAGAACCTGCTCCACTGCCCATCCGAAGCATCCCGATCTACCCTCATTCACAGCTTCTGCCACGAGCAGGAACGACCCCACTTCGAAAACAGTCACTCCGACAAACGCGGTTATGCCCCCACCGTACAATTCCTCGTTTGTGAATTCAGAACCCGGTCGCACCAACGGCAGATATACGAAGAAGGCGTTGAATATCCATATCACACTGCCTATCGTGAAGACAAAGGCAACGTCGAATGACACGTCCCATATCGGAAAGTACGTAAACATGCGCCAGATGTTGCGTGCAACACTACGAAGGGAGGTAGTTGGGCGTGGGGTATTGTGCTTTGTCGAAGCGGTAGCCTGTTTGGGTTCGATGTCTACTGCATGTCGTCCTTTGCGGTCATTCCGAGAAGTCCATTTGTACCGCACATCAGGACGCTGGTCGTGGCGGTAATGCGCTCGCGTAGGGTTGAGGAACGGTATCGGACCAGTGACACGATCATGTTCGAGACGTAGGCCATCCCCGTGTCTCACGGGCTCACGAGCTGGGTGGAAGGTGTTGTTGCGTCGCGTTTTGCGCGTGTCTGGACCATCGCGACTTGTCATATCAGCCTAGTCGTCTTCAGTTCGCATGAGGGTTGCTGTGTCGTTAGCATTGATCAAAGCTTTCTGTATCTCACGAGAAAACCGGCAGAGAGCAACTATGAACCCATGTTCAGACGCGTAGATGCTGCCAGCCTGCGTCATAATCTCGGATAGATGTAGCGTTGCAGTTAGTCTGTTGATAGCCGACGCTGGTTGTGCTGAGTCAGCCAGTCCACCGCCTCGCGTGCTTGCTCTGGGATGACGCGCTACATGCGAATCATCCGCATAGCTGCCGTAGCTGTATCACCTACTTTCGGGTTCAATCTTTGGATTTTTTCTGTTTTGGCAAACATTTACTGGATTCTTCATAGCCTATACGTGGCTCGCACAGCTGCTTTGATTGTTACATCAATGGAGGAGGTGCGGCCCCAAGGTAGCGAGTGGATAGGTCAGTAGTACAAGCTGACCGAATTCCTTCAGTCAGCTGAGACCAAATCAGACTTCTCGCAGCTCATCAGGCTAGACTCACACATCCCAGTCAAGGCAGCTTCACCTGAGTACATCTTTTCTTTCGCTTATAAGAAGCCCGTAAGTACACAACACTACACATCGGTCAGACCTGATGGTATACAGAGGCCTATACCCAAAACCTGGGAATGGATGGGAACTAAGAATGGTACTGGTCTTCTCGATCTCCCACGTGAGTTGAGGGACATAATTTATGGCTACGTCTGCCACGATATGGTCCACGACGGATGTGGATGGCGCAAAGAAGGCGAATGGGCCGACGACACTTATTCGGATGACAGTGATATGGATGACAGCGATATGGATGACAGCGATACGGATGACCAGGAGCCTATTGTATTTCAAAACTGCAACATTATGAGGATATGCCGACAAGTGCACTGGGAATTTGCCGAAGTGCTCTACGCGCGGCCGTTACAACTTACCGGCATCCCACAGTCCAACAAAAGCCATATCGTTATTACGGGATCGCATATCCTTCCGTTATCAAGAACATACGCACATCTTGTCAAGAAGCTGGCATTTATCCATAACATAGACCGTGAAGACTACTTAGGCTTGGAACCGCGAATAGGAGGGCACTTCCACGCTGAAGTTCTTTGGCTCGATGTTGTTACAGCAACGAGGGAACTGCTGAAGCTCTTCCCTGCTCTACAAATCTTGCGTATTCTTGTCACCAACGATAGGCCTCCAGAAGAAGACGTATTGATGGCCTTGCTCGGGAAGCGCACGGACAGAAGAGAAGAGCTGGTCGAGATCGCGGAGGATTTGATCCAGGCAGTGCGCTGGAGCGACACGAAGCCTATCGAGGTTCCGCAGCAGCTGGAATTGTTATATTTAGAAATCAACGGCACTGTAAGGGAGATGCCTTTGAGCGAGGCTTTGAGGAATACACAAGCAGCAGAGCTCCACAAGAAAGAGCTTAGAGAAAAATCCTGAGACTGGGCCAAGATCAAGCTGAAGACGACGAAAAATGGTGTGATCGTACTTGAAGAACGAAGGATACAAATGTTGAACATAGTTTTGATGTGAACTGATAGTATCAAAACCGAAGACCATATACACGTTCCAAGGCGCCGCAAAATCGTCGCTGAACGCCATCGCTGTGCTAATCATACAAGTACAAACAACAACAGGACCAGCCTGATCGTCATGTCGCAAGCGACATCAGTTCACCTTTCCCTCTTTCTTCTCTTTCCTGCCCTTCTGCCTCTCATCAATCTTCAGCCCCCTAACCAGCTGCCTTCCCATCATCCTCGAGATTTCCTTGGCATAGTCCTTCATCCTCATGTTATTTTGCTCGTCTGCGCTCTTCCCTTCATACTGCTTCTCACTGTATGGCGGTGGCGCATCCGTATACCGCGCGTACTCTGCTTCGATGCGCTGAGCACCCGAATTGGTTGAGAAGTTGGAATCAGAGCGGTGCGCCGAGTGGTCTGACGAGAGCGTTGAAGGCGATGGGAACGAGTGGTAGGATGATGCTCGCGCTGCTGTGCTATCTTCGGTGTCGATTGTAGCGGGTCTTTGGTGAGCAGCAGCGGCAGCGGCTTTGGCAACTGATGATGCTGAGTCGTGGCGAGAGGACATTCTAGAGGAAGGGGTTTCGCGTTCGTTGACGCTGACTTCTGGGTAGTGATCCATGATTCGTGTTTCGGTGGTGACTCAAGGCCGACTCGTAGTGGTAGTGTAGGATCTAGAAACCAGAATATAGGATGTTTTGAGCAATGTAGACGTGTATAGTATGGAGTATGACTGTTAGCGTCCTCAATGATGAGTATGCTTATTGGTGCGGCCGAATGATGCCATCAGGTCGATGATGCAGGTCAGGACCTTTAAACGGTTGCCTACTCACACAACGCACATGATGTACCTGACACAGACCCATAGCAATCCTGTAAGACATACTAAAGACGTCATTTCAGCGCCATCGCGCAGCCCAGCCACGCTTTGCCTGTCGCAGTCCAGGATAGGAAATGATGTGTGGCTCATCAGAAGGAGATCATGCCTTCCAGGCAGAATGCGGATACAACTCTGCTGACCTGACGGGCTGGTCGATATGCTCCGCGGACGCAGAAAGCCTTCATGAACCATACCATGACACGTGGAATGATGCTGGAGATGAACGTTGTCGGGGAGACGGCGAGGGAGCGAAAAGCGAGGCGCAAGCGAAGCGAAGGATGTGTGGCGTTCAGCATGGATGGGGCCAATGATGTCATTCATCACGATCGGCCGTGCCGTGTCGCACAAGAAGACCTGAAAGCTGATGTAGATCACAAGGGGAGACAAATAATTGGCATACGAACGATTGGGTATCTTAGTCCTTAAAGCGGACAGTGCGTGCAACGTGACAGAGCGTGAAATGGGTGAACAGGATGAGAAGCAGGTGCTGAGCCCCCAACAAACCTCTCACACCCTAACCAGACCCCTGACAGCGTTCTTGAGCTTCCCCAGACCACGTGAACTCTTCTTGAAGTCCTTCTGTCGCTCCAACTCCATGTCCGTCGGCGCGTTGAAGTTACCGCTTATTCTTCGAATCTGTCCTTGCGAGTTGTGGTGTGCTGGCGACGGCGAATAGTAATGCTCAGCTGATGAGAATCTCCTTGGACGTCCCGTGTCATCATCAGAGTATGACGATCTCAGATATGCAGAAATGACAGCTTGTGGAGACAGTTGCCCCTCGTCGGATGATCGTTGCGCATATGGTGGAGTCAATGTCTGGGGTTGATGCGACTCTGCGCGCTTGCGGGATGATGACATGGCTGCAGTACGTTGATTTGGGTCCTCGGGTATATCGCTCACAGAGTATCGTGCTGATCTAAAGTCAAAGAAGGATTTGTAGAGTGTAGAAATTGCTTACGACCATGTTGGGACCGCTCTCGCTGCTGTTGTCTTGTCTGTTTTTCCATGGTTGCACTTCGTTTCGCAAACCAATTCGTGTCGTATAAGAGTGGGCTGCTCTTCAATTTGGCACGAGAAGCTTGAGTAGATATCAAAGACGCAAATCGCAACGCTTGAATGTGATGGATCAAAGCAACCCCAAATTCTCGCAAGGGCCCTACCTGTTCATACTTATCAACATAGCCTTCAGGTACCTTCGGCCAATGCACGTGGTACCATGGTAATGCCAAAATCTAACGTCATTGACCCTGTCTCCCAATCAACTCTTCCATGCAGGAAACTACGAGACTCAAACTGCGGATCGGGGACAAGACGGATAACCGGGCATTGTCTGCCTCGGGCGTCCCGCATGTTGCCAACTTGGCGGTAGTTGATGTCCAGTTAAGGTTGCCTTGCATGGCATAGTACTTTGTAGTGTTGGTGTCATCCGGAAAGTCGTATCCGCGGATGAAACGGACGCAGGACGATATGACTGGTGGGGTTGGACGCAGGGCAGCCTTAGCGATGTTGCAAGCTCTAGATACGAGGAGATCAGCGCAAGGCTGTGGTGGACATGCAAGATGGAGGGTTGAACGAGTGAAGTGTTGGACACATGGATTGATGGGCTATCATTGCGATATCTGCACGAAGGGCTGGTTGCGACTGGTCAAGCGACCTTCTTCGAAGAAGTAGCTATTGCAGCAGCCAATGAGCGATTCGGCTACCATCAGGATGCATCTGTAGAAGACTAAACGAATCGCATAGCAGGATGCAGAGAGGTGCAAAAATCTCCAATGCGACCAGTATGTGGAAGAAGAAGAGGCGGACTTCCGGGCACTTCACTTCGCTATAGAAGTAATATCCATGTAGGCCCGATTCGTCCGAATAGCACCTCAAGGTCTCCATCACCTGATTTACAGCATTCCCTGCGAAGGTGCGATCTTCGAGATCAAGATCTTTCATTTCGACAAAGAAACATCTCAAACATCGGTTCCGCCCTGATTTGCAGGGGCTCATCTCCTCTTCCTCGCTTCGCACCCTCGTCACCCAGCCCAAAGTGGCAAAAAATCCTGCCAAACGGTCCAAACCCCTCGTCTCCCCTAACCCAACCTGCACAGCCAACGTTTCCCCGCGCTCTGCCCAGCACTGCTTTTCTGCGCAGCAAAAGATAATCCGCCCATCTGACCTTTCTTCTCGAACGAACAACTAGTATCCTAAACATAGTAACACACGTGCAGCCACCTCAAGATTTGCGAGGCTACGTTGGCGATTTGCTTAAGGCCGGCCGAGGCGCAGCAAGCCGTGCGGACGGTCTCGGATGCCTGACCGCAACGCGTCCCACAGTGGGCCTCCGAGATGATGATGAATGTGCGCTGACGCGGTGTTGCTCGACGGCTCAACTGCGACTTAGCCCATGTGGATATTTCAATAAATAGGAGAAGGATGGTACCACCTGGTGGTGGTTTCGACGAATTTTGTTATTACCGGCATTTCAAACATATATCGCATTGAGACTATTGGAAATCTTCAGCAGAACATAAAATCGCGCTACATCAAACGGTGTATTGCTTCTTCTCGCGTTCACAAACCAAGAAGGAAAGAGACAGTTACTTGAAGTAGTAACTTTCAGGTTTTCCGTACGTAGCAGTAGCACCTCCACATTCCAGATCCTGCCATCCCGCACCCGGGTTTTCGGCTGAGCAACGAAAAAGCCCTCAACAAGCATCATCCCTAGCCCATTCCAGGGGTCCACGCAACTCTTCCAAGGCATTCATAAGCTCTGGAACCACGCCGACTATCCACGAACCAGTATCGGCGAACCCACTGGGACCCTGACAACCAAAAGCCCACTTCGTTCCTGACAGCTGTAAACAAAGGCAAAGCGAGGCTTCCGATCCCGAGCACGTATAGTACATTAGCATACCCGCAGATCGTTTTTACAAAGATCTCGTATTCAGAGCGGTACACTACTACTACAAACTTTCGGCTCTACCCACGCTACCCTACTGTACAACCAAAAAACAACGATCGACATACAACGGACCTGAAAATGGACGTCACTACTACTATCAACACACAATCGTCATCAGCGTCATCGTCACGAAGCTCATCGCCTACCACACCCATAACACCTTCCTCGCCTGCATCATCGGCAGGCGCATCATACTTCAACGCACCAAACTCGCCGCAGATCCCTTACCACATCATCGTCACGTTCGACGGTAAAGTGCGCGAGATGATGAGGATAGAAAGGCAGGTCGAATACCCAGTCCAGGAACGCCGATCACGGAGGCCGGCACCTAGGCCGAGGTACTACGCGAAGAATGCGGAGGAGCAAAGACCAGAGGCTAAGAGGGTTGACAGCGGGTTCGGCGGGATGTAAAAGGTCAAGGCTTGGTTTGGGAGGTTGGCGAAAATGGCGTTTACGATTTTGATGATTTTCTTCAAGGGTACAACGGAAAAAGGATCATACCACGGCTGTCGTCGTTGGCAGTCGGCGGGAATGCAAAAAGCTGGAGGCTACCTAGCTGGAATACTGTCAGTAATTGTAAACGTAATCGAGAACAATGGAGGTCTTACTGTGCTATCCAATGGATCCAATTGGAGAAGAATACTCCTCACTCGCCAGCCTATTCTGCGATCGTTCCGATTTTGGCTTCTTGGGTGCAACTAAGACATCTCGATGCCAATGGTGCGCATCTCTTGCGCTAAATGTGAAGAGGCGGCCGAAGTCAGAACCGTTGGCGCCGCTGGGCGGGCTCTTGAGTCAGTGTGCCGCCAGCCAGGAACATGTCGTGCAACCGCTGGACTCGTGTATCCTGGATGAGAGCGAAGGATCTGTCTGCTTTACTCATATCTTTGCTGGCTAGCATGATGATATTGTTGACAAGGAGAGTTTGTAACGGGGTGAGACGAAGCGACTGAAGTTTCCGAAAGTAGGAGTGCCGTCCTGAGCTGCTTATTTTACCGAATAATCTTATGTGTATCAGCTCTTGTAGCAGACCACGTAGCGAAGGCGGTAAAAATTGCCGGCGTAGTTCCGGATGTCAAACAATATGGTC